TATCAGGCGGGTGCATGTGTTGTTTTTTGGTCATACTCAATGTAGTAGTCAGTTTAATCGGGACTGAACTTGTAGGAAGGTGCAAACTCTATTTCTTCTTCATGCCAACCTTCTAAAATATGTCTTTCCTTGAACTCTGCCTTTAGCTTTTCATTTCTTTTGTAACGGCCCAGATCCACCGCTAGCAGATATTGTCCTCTTTGGACTTTCCCTTTCGGGCTTCCCCTCAAGGCTTTAAAACGCGTCTACTAGGGGAAGGTTTCCACACCCTTATAAATGGTGGTTTGTTCTCCTCCCCAACCAATGTGGGACATCACAATACGGCCCAGATCTATCGCTAGCAGATATTGTCCTCTTTGGGGTTTCCCTTTCGGGCTTCCCCTCAAGGATTTAAAATGCGTCTACTAGGGGAAGGTTTCCACACCCTTATAAATGGTGGTTTGTTCTCCTCCCCAACCAATGTGGGACATCACAATCCACCCCCCCTTTGGGGCCCAGCGTCCTCGCTGGCACTCTTTCCTTCCTCCAATCAATGTGGGACCGCCCCCAAATCCACCCCCCTTTGGGGCCCAGCGTCCTTACTGACACACTGCCTCGTGTCTACCCCCTTTGGGGAAGAGCAAGAAGGCTGACACATCGTCCGGTGTCTGGCTCTGATACCATTTGTAACGGCCCAGATCCATCGCTAGTAAATATTGTCTTCTTTGGACTTTTCCTTTCAGGCTTTCCCTCAAGGTTTTAAAACGCGTCTATTAGGGGAAGGTTTTCACACCCTTGTAAATGGTGGTTTGTTCTCCTCCCCAACCAATGTGGGACATCACATCTTTGATAGAAAATTTTCCTTAAACTAGCTTAGTATATTTGTTAATTAATTTTTTTCACTAGAATATACTATTGATTTCCATCTGTGCCTTTTTTGAAGTTTTATGTAATTGGTAGTATATCCATTTGCTGTGTTGTAACTTGTAACAATGATAGATATGCAAGTACGTACAATGCTTGATCATTTTGCAGCAGAACGTTCCACTTCCCTTTGTTGACAAGAGATCGTGTAGTGGAATCAGTCTAATAAGTTCTGTAATTGAAGTCCCCAATCCAAATCACCCGCTGCATTCAAATGGTTACTGGATCATCTGCGAACCAATGAATTAAAGCATGATATTAGTTATGTACTCGTTATGCTAGAGTTTTGAAGAAGCCCCTTTCGTTGCATGCAGTGCCAGAGCATGGTGTTTCATGATTCGCTGTTTTTCTTTTAATGCACCAGCCCATGTAAATTAATCGCATATCATTATTTCTCTTCGTGGGAAATAGCTACACTACCTTACTTTCCAAACAATCCATGATTCCCCGCACACACAAGAAACACTTAGGGGCGCATACGGAACCACTGGAATAGGCCTTCTCGGCATGCCTTTTGATGAAGCTTTGTTTGTTGTTTTGTTGCTAACAGGGGTCAGCAATCTCTCGTTCAGAGTTGTTCTAATTACAGAATTCCACCTCCCTGAATCCTTCTTGTTATCGTCAATTAGGACGTTTCAAGCATTCAGAGGTACAATCTCTTGAAATCTATAACCTACTGTTACTTGAGCTGTTGTTGCCTTCTGTTATGTTAGTTTTATTTCAGTCTAATAACATACTGCCAGTCTTCTTGTAAACAGTCTACTGCTTTGGGTTCTTCAGTTGAATAATATGTCTCTCGACATTTGGTATCATCATATTGGGCATCCCGCCCTTTCAGTTGTTAAACAAGTAGTTAAACATTGAAACTCCAATTTGCCTACTAACGCAGTTTCTTTTTGTAATGCTTGTGCCATAGGCAAACACTGCTCACTTTCTTTCTCCTTCTGTTACCTCATATGCTGCACCTTTAAAATGGATTGTAGCTAATTTGTGGGTGGACCTTCTTACAATTTATCTAGACATGGCTTCCACTGTAACATTAGCTTTGTTAATCATTTTTCTGGATACACTTGGATTTATTTTCGTCAAACAAAATCTGAAGCTTTCCAACCTTCCATAACTTTTAAGTTGTTTGTTGAAAAAACAGTTAAGACACACCAATCTTGAGTCTTCAAATTGGTGTTGAAGCTGAGTGTAAACCGTTGGTTCATTTTCTTCACATGGCTTAGCTGATGCGAATTGGGCTTCTGACCTTGATGATCACAAGTCCACGTTTGGTTTCTGTGTTCTTTGGGGTAATTTGATCACTTGGGGAACCATGAAGCAATATGGGGGGGGG